ATGGTGTGCTTGGTTTCAACGTAACTTTATTCTTTCATGAGTTATTTATAAGTTTCTGACCACTTATAAAATGTGTTCAATCCATTGTGTTGGATTGTCAATGCAACCCTCTTCTCCCACTCTTCACACACTGATAGCAACACCGCAGGAGAAATGCCAGCACAGGCATCCAGTATCCGTAGTTTCAGGTGCCAACCATTCCCATGTTATTACGGTTTATCCATATAAATGGCCCACCCTGTATTAATCCTACAAAGGTAATCATGAAGGGTTATTACATCTCAAATGCTAAAATGTTTTAAACATTTTCTGCTCGATCATGTCCAATTTGCTTAAGATTTTTATCACAGAAGGTCTGGGTTAAATAATGGTTGCTGAGAAATTTTAACTTCATATATGAAGTACTTTTTAGAGTCTGTCTTTTTTTAATGGTTGGTTAGCCCACGCCCAGCATGGTGAAATTTGAAGCCATGTTTGATCTTGAATATCTAGAAAACTATTAAAGATAAAAGCCTGAAATTTTGACCTTTCTCACCATCAAAACGAATCAGGATTTCTTATTTGGGACAGGTACAGGTACTGGCTAGGTAAAATATGAAAATAGTTCCAAAGTTCCATATTTGAGCACACACTAACAAAAACACTTCATATTGAAAAAGACAATTAGTGACAATTTCTTAATGGCATATAGTTGATTTCATAATAATGAAAATAAAAAATGCAGAATTCTTTTGAATGTTAAATTCAGAGGAAAATGCTATTTTCATCCCAATTTCATGCTGGATTGAGCAAACATGACAAGCTGTACAACAAAAACCTAAATGTCAATAGATAGTCTAATCTCAATACAACACTTTTCAGATGGTACTCTTAATTAAATATTTCATTTAGTTAAATATATTTATATTATTCATTTTCAAGACTAGCTCTACCTAGACTTAGTTGAGACCTACTGCCTTGGAGCAGGCATATAATTCAGGTCAAGTTTAAAATATACAATAATATTTTCAAAAAGATATATCTTGATAAGTCTGCTTATCCTCTTCAGGGTCGCGGTGGGGGTTACACCCTGGAGAGGTTGCCAGTCTGTTGCAGGGACACACTCAACCATTCGCACTCACATTCACAATTATAGGCAATTTAGTATCCAGTTAACCTATCTCCACTAACTACATGTCTTTGGACTGTGGGAGGAAGCCAGAATACCCAGGGAGAACCCACGTAAACACAGAGAGAACATGCAAACTCCACACAGAAAGACCCCGGCCTGAAGGTGGAATTGAACTCAGGACGGGGTCTTTCTGTGAGGCAACAGTGCTAACCACTGTGCACCATGCTGCCTTATCTTGAAAACTATTTGATATATTACACATATATTTGCAGTAATTGTTATGTATGTCCAAACTTTGGATCATAGATTTTTTAAGGAAATCGGAGATGGTCGAGAAGAAGCCCCATGGTGATTTGACATGTTAAGACCGAGAAGAGACTAAACTTTCAAAAGGAAAATTTGCCCTTTTTCTCAGATATGTGTTTCACCCCAGAATGAATCACAGATTAACTCTTAATTTGTGCCATCGTCATGTCAAAATGATACTCTCTTGATATTACTACAAACTGACAAGACAACATAACCTCTTTTGTCCATCTGTAGTTTCATTTCAACCTAATCAGTATCATCAGGTAGCAGCGCCGAGACAGACTGCCAGGCCCCTGCCCACACACATGCACACACACATTCACAGCAAGTCTGGCCTGATGCAGGACTCACAGACAAACAGCCAGATGGGGTATTAACATAGAGTGTGGAGTCGTGTGGAGAGTGTTGCCATGAGCCTGCCGGGTGAAGAATGAAGTCGTGTGCAAACTCCTCAACACTCACATCAATGCATCATCAAAGGCCAAGGTGACGGGCTCTTTCCGTATTTACAGGCATAACTTACCAGGTATACTGCTGGGATTTTGTGTCTTTGTGTTGCTTGAAGTATGACAAACTACAAAGCCAGAAGGGTACACCAAGACAGCCTGTTCAAACCGTGGATGGATAGTTTACAAGTTAAGAGCTTTGGCCAACTATTTGTCACTTTTATAACGATCATAATTTATGTGGCTTAAAAAGTTCGATGGGAAAAATAAAAATGACCAAATCATCCATCCCATTTTTCCCCTCATCATGCTAAATCTCTTTCTTCTTCTTTTTTTTTTTTGTATGCCAGTGGTTTCAATCACATAAATAGATAGTCTCGCAGATGACAGGTCATATCTGAGTATCTACAAGGTAATGACAAGGAAAAGTGACAGATTACGTCTCTGTGTTGTTCCATCATGCACGAGCCTTTTGAAGAATGGAGCTAGGTAGAAGTGAGTGCCACATGATAGGAAAAACCCTCATAAATATGTTTTGTTCCAAGTTCTGCATGGATGGATGTCTCGTAAGGATGAATATGTTTATATATAGTGTGACAGGGTGGCTAGATTGATAGGCAGCTGGCACTGATTTCGGTGTTTTTACAGTTCACTCCCTTCAGTGACTACATGAAATGTACGTCTGTTAGTAACATTGTTCTTATTTATCTGAATTTACTCTGTCCGCACTCTTGGTGATTGGGGACGTTGTCAGCATTCGGTCGTTCACTATTTCTCCATTATCTGAACCTGATTGACATCATTACTTGTCTTCCTAGCCTAATGATCACAGGCTTAGCAACAGCACACATGGACGCCTAGCTATCTTATAAAAGCAGTCGAGTTATTGATATTGTTCCTAATGTAGTGAGAGACAATTAAGCGAGGGAATGATGTGTGCAGTCACCTCTGAATTTAAATGAGGCTTCAGTGTATATGTAATTGCTTTTGTGTGAGTCATACCACCATCATGCGTTTGGCTGGGACAGTTCTGCAGTGTGTTGTAACCTGAGGACTAGATGCTTCTCACCAGTTATGTACTGTACCTCAGTGGGTGTGTTAGTGATGACAAATGGGATTCTAATCTAAAATTTGAATGCGCCGTGCAAGAATTAATTAAATCACAAATATATCTAGGTCTTAAAATGTATCCAACCATCTTGTTTTTTGATGCATATCTGGGTCCAAGTTCTGGGAAGCGCACGGATGCCCAGACCTTGGTCTTCCTGACCACCTCGTTCAGCTCTTCTGGTGGACCACCAAGGCGAGCCCAACCAAGTCGATCCACATCACCTCTCGAGCTGCTCCTGGGTCTGCCCTGGGTCCTCCCCCTAAGTGGACATACCTGAAACACCTCACCTATTAGGTGTCCATGCCCAAATCAGCTCCTCACACCATCTCTAAGGGGAAGTTAATTACTTATTTATTCATTCTTTCTGTCCCTACCCGAAAGATAGGATAGCAAAGATAGGAAGTTGTTGACTGGTTGTGCAGTCTTGCAATTGTCCTCGAATGTCCTTGAAAGGTCATTACTTCAGCTTAAACTTGTTCTCAACTCATGTTGTTTTCTAAATCAAGGAGACGAGCCCAAACAATCCCATCAGTAACCACTCTTGAAGGTAATAAAATAGAGTTGGTTCACACCTATAAATATCTGGGAATCTTAATTGATGACTCGCTTACCTTCAAACCACATGTAGAGAATCTTGTGAAAAACCTGAAGTTAAAATTGAGATTTTATTTTCAAAATAAGTTGTGTTTCTCTTTTAATACAAAGAAGCGGCTTGTTGCTGCAACATTCTTGCCTGTGCTGGATTATGGTGATATTCTATATATGAATGCTTCTGCTCAATGTCTTCGAATGGTTGATTCTGTGTATCGTGCTTCTCTGAGGTTCATCACTAACTGTAAATTTCAGACTCACCACTGTGAGTTATACTCTCAGGTAGGATGGCCTGCTTTGGTAAGTCGGAGGAACTCTCATTTATACAGTTTTATATATAAGGCGATACTTGGGTTGCTGCCTTCTTATCTATGTTCCCTGCTTGTAATGAAACATGCTGGTCGGTATTCTCTTCGTCCGCATGGCTACTTGTTGCTTTCTGTTCCATTTGCCCGAACTGAACTTGGTAAAAGAGCTTTTGTCCATTTAGCACCCTCGGCCTGGAACAAACTGCAGAAGGAAGGGAAAATGACTGAATTCATTTCATTAAGTGCTTTTAAATCTAAACTACGAATCCTTGAGGCCAAGTCCATAACATGTAACTGTTTCAATTAGATTGATTGTCATTTTAACTGACTTTTTTATTTTTGTTTGAATTTTATTGAATTTTTTATTTTATTTTATTTGTATTCTTTCACTTATTGTTGCATGTGTGTTGTTGCTGCCTGTGTTTGAGTAATTTCTGTAACTGTGAGACATCTGCTGCTGCCTATCTTGGCCAGGTCTCCCTTGAAAAAGAGGTTTTTAATCTCAATGGGATCTTCCTGGTTAAATAAAGATTAATAAATAAATAAATAAATAAATAGCAGCTTCAGTGTTTGACGACCAGGACGAAAACCACTCTAATGGATCTGAGTCTCAATCACCCAGGCATAAACCTTCTCGGGGTGATTGGAAAGGTTTAGGTAACTGTGACCTCATAAAGCATGACCATGGCATTCATACGCCAAGGTTAACAGTGAAGTCTGGACAGAAATATGATTTAAGCTTGACTTGTTCATAAAACATACAGTTGTATGTGGCGTGTGGAAGCTTCTGTTTGATGCTTTGCATGCATGTTGCAGTATCATAATGTTAAAATGAAGTGAGAGAAAATCAAAATATAAAGCTTCAGACCATAAAATAAAAACAATCAGAACACATTTGCTGTAATCATTCACTGAGCTGAGGGCAATGACACAATTAGCTAATGATTCTTGTCAGTTTCATATTACATATACCCATTTGACCCATTTTATTCATAAAAATGAGGATATTTCCAGCTTTATGCCTCACTCCACACTTTCCTCTTGGTCATTCGCACCCTTCCTATAATGATTCATTGTTACTAAGGCTCATTCAAAGGCACTTTGCTTTAACGCCATGTCCTCAGACATGAAGTTGGGCAGGAATGTGGCTCGAACCTTCCTGGATTACTACAAACTCAATAACTTCGTTAAGGACAACAGACCAACTCCTATTCAAAGGTAAAACTGTATGGCACTAGAATTAGATGTTCATGAAAGCAAATCTATCTGTGACTATTGTCAAATCTACTTTTGTTTTTCCTCTTCTCTGAATTTCACGCTGTCACTGATGTTCGTCTGTTTTTGTCTCCAGTTCTGGGGTGATGTCCCAGACAGGCAATGGTGTTGGCAGAGACACAGCAGACAGAAAGAAGGAGAAGAGCGAAAGTGTCGGGCACTAGACAGCCAGCCAGACGGACACAGGCTGAGCATGTATAAAATGCAGAGCACTGTGGCAGGAGAATCCTTCACACTTCATTGTGTTTATAAGCTCCACATCTCCCTGGCTATAAAGACTTATTTTCACAGATTTGTAACAGTGGGATGACTGGTACTTGTAGGACTAAACCCAGAAGAGGCTTCCTCCTGGGTTATAAAGCATGGACTGTTGAATACCAAGAGGAGACAGACTGGTTATTCATCTATGTTTCCATCCAAGGCCTTCATTTGGCAGCTCATTTTTTTGTTGAGAAGAAAAAAGTGCATGCGCTCCTGTTGTCCCCCCCCCCCCTTTTCCCCCCAATTTAAATTTTTATCTCTGATTGTATTATAATCAGTCATTAAACATTAAAGCAGTTAATTATTATTTGTATTTGTTGCTCTATTATAACAATAATGAGGAGAGCTTTACAGTATATGAAGAATAACTTCAAAGCTTTTTAAAATTTTATCTGTGTTCATAGTGCTAAAAAAGAGCATTTTTACATGGTGACTTGAGGTTTTAGGAAACACGAACACAAATCCAGGCTAAAGTGCGGCGATGTGAGCACACGTGCGGTGATTGTGTGTGCGAGACAACACGCTTTTGATTCGCCACTTCTCTGTCACGTGACCCCACATCCGCTCCGTGACTGTTGCTGTTTGGCAGCTATGACAACGAACTTTGAAAGTTAGATGAATGGCCTCGGTGAAGAAGAAGTTTTCCTCCTCTATAGGGTATCAACATTGTCTGAAATGCACGGTGTACTTGGACATTCAGGCAGTAAGTGCGTCTTTATGCTGCTGCTTTGGTACGAAATTCAAAATGTGACCTGATGCCGTAGCTTATTAACGTTTGCTAGCTAGCGAGCTTACGTCCTCTTTCAGCAAACCTTCCGTTACGGTTCCCTAAACAGTTAGCTTACCAGTTAGCTTACCAGCCTAACCCTAACTGATACACCAGGGTTATCCTGACATGTCTCATTAACTTACTAATTCCTCCTTGTCGTTACCAGTAACGTTAATACTGATGCTGCCGTAATTATTCTAATTGAGTCACTGCAATTAGTGCAAACAGTTAGAGATGATACGAAAGGCATGAACGTAGCATTGGTTCTTTCACGTATTAATATTTATGTCTGAGTCACTTCAGTATTAATCTGTTTATACATAAACCATTAATAGAAATATTGATGTCCACTAATGACCCCGAGGTTCTGCTGTAAAAGTTGATTGTAGTGGTTTGATGTCCATTAGGTGTTTTTAAGTAACTAAAAGTAATTCGTCTTTTCATAATTTATCTGTGTACGATAAGCGTCATTTCCTGTTTCAGTAAACTTTGGGTTGACCTTAAAGCCCACTTTATGCGTGAGGATGATTTCCGTCCCGTTTATTGCTTCAAGTTCATAAAAGTCAACACAACTGACTGTCACAAAAGTAGGTGTCAATATGAAATACTTACCATAGAATACGAAATTGGGAAAATGAAACGGAAGGTTTACAAGACAAGAGGCCGAGATGGAGGTTGCAGAGTTGAAGATGCTAAAAGATCTTCACGACGAGGGACAGCATTAGAAATGAGTACATCAGAGGGACAGCTAGTGTTGGACGATGTAGAGACAGAGTTAGAGAGTCGAGGCTGAGATGGTCTGGACATATGGAGTGGCGCAATAGTGGCTATAATGGACAAAGTATGTTGAATATGAAGCTGCCAGGCAGCGGGAAAAGGGGAAAAGACCACAAAGAGGAGGAGAATTAAAGGAGGACATGCAGAGGGTTGGTGTGACAGAGAAGGATGCTGCAGATAGGGTGAGATGGAGGCAGATGATCTGTTGTGGCGACCCCGAAACGAAATAAGCTGTAGAAGAAGATATGATAGGATATAGGCCGAACCTTGAACCTGCATAGTTTCTGTGTATCTATTAAGTTAGATATAGCAAAATTTGACACTGTTTTCCACATTGTTCCACAAAAACATTTTCTTTGACCTTAAATTGCCAAGATTGTGTTACCCTAACAGCAGTAACAGTAGGAAGTCTTGATGTGAGGGATTGCACATGGATTGCGTATTTTAGTAATTGTTTATTAACTGCTGTTGTCTTTGGGATATTTGCTTCTCTTGCTTCTAATGTGCTTCTCTTGATGAATGCACTCTTCCAAACATGTTTGAAAACCATAATAAACGAACACAGTAGAATTTGTGCCCTGTTATACTGTTCATAACCAGGTCACATGCCCGGGAGTGCTACTGTCTAAGAAGTATGATATCTACCTCCGTGTCTGCATCATGGGCCAGTACAGGAAGACTGCCTGTGTGCCTCCGGACTTCCCTTTGCTTTTCCAGCACAAAATGGTTTTTGTCAAGGTGAGAATAAAGCAATTTATTATAGAAATAAAGGACGGCTCCTTGATTTTGGCACAAGATTTCCATCTGCCTGTGGGAATTTTAGACTTGGCAATAAAAGTGTACATATGATCATTAAAGTAAAAGGAAATCCAGACAGACATAGATTTACCCTACATTAGTTATAGTGTACATTAACAAAAATATGAAAACATACAGTATTAAAGCCTTATCATACAGTTTTTGCTCTTAAGACTGTCAGAATCATCTTATCTTATCTTATCTTTGCATTAAATCTTAATAAAGTTTGTGCTGAGATAAATTTGCGTTTTTAATGCACAGCTTAACCTGTGATAATTAACACATGCGGGTGACATGGGCGGAGTACATAAGTTCTTATTGCTAAGTGGTTTTCACACATTAACTCCAAGGATGGAAAGCAGGACGGCATACAAAATTTGTCCTTGCTCACATGTAGCATACACCTGTTTACCTGCTCTTATCTTTGCTCTGCCACCACACAATGTGTTTTATTTTTTATTTTTTTTGTCAAGGTCAGGGTAAAGCTATTTGCTACAGAAATAAAGGACGCCTCCCTGTGTGAGACACGGGATTTCCATCTGTCTGTGGCTGTTTTGTTTAGACAGGATGCAGGAATTCTAGTGGCTTTATGTCTATATAAGCTTTACTTTTATCTACATTTGATTCATCTTAAGAGGTGTCCATAAGTGTTTTAGGTGCTTTTTAAAAAAAAACAAAAAACTTTTTTCTTAATAAAATTGTTACCTATATGTTTAAGCCTTTTGTTCTTTCTTATGTGGGCCAGCATTCATCCATAGTTAGTATTCAGGTGGTGAAGGATTATGAGCCCACTGTGCCTAATAACCAGCAACCCTCCAGTATGAACATTAGTGTCCTAACTCTTAGTGAGAGGGACCTTGTTTTCCCTGGGGAGACTGGTACGCTTAGATACTGGCCTGTCCGCCAGATCTTGTTATAAGTATTGATTTGCTTTGTCTGTACTCTTTGTGTTTTCCCAGATATTCCCCGGCGTTGTTGACCCTGCTGATGTAGCTGACCTCCTCGAAGGTAAACGGCCTACTGGGATTTGCTTCCTCATCTCTTAGTCCCGAATCCTATCCTATGAAAGCTTATTGGCTATTAGCTGAGATACCGATCATTAGCTCACAGTCTGTTTATACTTTCCTTCCTTCCTCTTAGCTGACACAACATCTTTTGAGCTGATTCAGTTGGTGCCTCCAGGTATGCTTTCTGATGATACCAAATGGGCCTCTTAAGTCCCCACTGTATCCAGTCATTACACTGCAAAACAGGATATTTAACTTGGACTGTGTGTGTGCATGATCCTGGGTTTTTTTTTGTGTGTGTATATGGGTTATAGAAGGTGAGGTACTTGCCACAATGGAGGAAAGCAGCAGAGATTTCCTGTATCCAGGTCCCAGGTGGAGCTCAAGAGTCGCAGAGCGAGAAATACTGATGAAAAGATCATCCTCATTTCCTGTAAGCGTTTTCTGTTTATGCCAACATCCTAACATTTATCACAATTATGTGTTAGAAAGCTCTAAAGAGGCCATATAGGTGGTTTTTTGTTTTTTTTTAAAGTTATACGTTGAGTGTGAGCATTAAGGCCCGTTTATAAGTGACTTACTGCTACTTATGCAAAAATCAAAACATAACTTTAAAAGTGTCTTTACAGCAATTTTATGATCGATCTCATATATAGTCAGTGAAAGAAAATAGTCAAAGGTTTTTTCTGTGTCGTACACTAACAAAAAAGATGTTTGAATTCTTTACATGCATGCATATATTAATCCCTCATCATACACTTTGCCCTTTTTTGTTTTCTGTTTAATGATTAAAATCATCTTAACTTTTCATTAAGTCTTCAGGACATTGAATTAGCGCTAATATGAAGCCATTTTCGCACACGCTAGCACACAACAGGATGCATTCCACAGCAAACACAGTTAGGAATACTGTGCCTGCTGTAGGGGAAGATGCAGGAAATGATGCCCTCCAGCTCACTGTAAATTTAACGGACAGTTATATGCCAGCAAATCAGAGATTCCTCAGAGTTTGGACCTGGAAACTGGCAGGTTCAGTGTCCGGTCTGACTACGTTAATCATTTGCATTCTGACATGCACCTTTGTCAGGTAATGTTTAGAAAAGTTCAGGGCTGCAGTGTATTTGTGAAAACTGCTTAATAAAAGTCAACAGCACGCCAAGTATGGACAATAAAGGTGCAAGGAAAGTAAATGCAAACACAAGAGAATCCAATTGGAGGCATCCCAAATAAATCAAAGATAAGAAATAAAGGTTGTTTAATATCCTGTCAGTGCATAAATGTACATGTCAGATAAACATAAGCCACGGACACTGGTAAGTTTCAAGTTATTTTACAGCAGGCTGGTAGTGAGCCTTTACTATTAAATACTCAAATGCCAATAAACGGGATAAATGTTCTCTTTAGGCATACAGCTTTATCTAACCTTGTTTTTCATCTTTGGTGAAGAAGCAGGAAGCAGAGTTTTTCTTCAAACAGAGTTTCACAACCCTAAAGTCTCCAAAAGAGCTTGTATGCTGTGCAAAATGTAAATAAAAACCAGGCTGCAATATTTTGGACGTGATTTAGACACAATTCTGTGGTGGAAATCGCTGTGTGGGCCTGAGAAAACTTTAAAAGAGCACAGTTTGTCACCATATCAACAAATGCAAATGCAAAAAATCCACCATGCAAAGAAAAAAACAGATGCAAACGAGATCCAGGAACGCTGCTGCTGCATCTGGGTTCGAGCTCGTTTAAGATGGACTGAGGTTAAATTTAAAAAGCATCTC